ATATATATATTCCATGGCATTTAGGGGTTGAAATGACAATAAATTATCTTTTAAAACAGCATGGGATTAATGAGGGGTCCCTGGAATTGTTTTCACCCTTGTAAGGGGTCTCCAGACCCAAATGACTTGAGAACCCCTGCTCTAGGGCTCTGAACCCACCCCCACCCAATCWACAGGAAAAGGTACAAGCACAACATCCGTATTTTCAGAATAAGACACCATAAATTGGAATAATCTTGTCATATATTAATAATTATACAGATATATTTCTACACAAATGCTGTCAGAATGTATGGATCTGCATGGGCAGCAGATGGAAACATGTAGCATGAAGCATATGTGTACACACATGATACACGTGGATTTTATTTTGAAATCAGAAGTCTCAAAAAGACGACAGCGAGACAGTTTCAACTATAGATATCAAAAGCTTTTATATCAATGTTTTCAGCTGTGTTTGTTCGTCTTTCACAGAAGTGATTATTTTTTTGCTGTGACTTGTACATTTATCATTGGACTTATCGCGCGGTCTCCTCCCTGCTTCTTCCTGCTGTCGGTGCAGCGGAGCCGAGTCCGACCACCGCCTGTGAAACTCGGCTTCCAGCAGTCCCTACAAAAACTTTCTCTTCGTTCCGTTCGTGACGCAGCTGTTTTTCTGTCTGTAAACCTGCAGCTGAAGGTAAGCAGCTTTCTACGTTTCAATGTTTAAAATCATCTGTCTCAGTTTTAGTTGCAGCAAAAAATCTTTCTGTTTTGTATTTTTGTTTATTTTAAACAAACTTGAGCTCAGCTGGAAAATCAACATTTCGAAGTAAAACCRTTATTTCTTCCGCCATCTTTTTTCCCTGTAAATCCGTTAAATGTGAGCAATTGGGAGCTTTAATTCAGTAGACGGRCAAGTTTCTTTTCTATGTTTCATGGAGGAGGCTGAGACGAGCCGCATTTCCCCGCTGCACGAGACGAAAAGCAGCCTAAACACTGCATAGAGGCCCGCCGGGGGGGAGCTACACCCTGATAAATTAGCTCCTTCTTGGCTGTGTCTCAATCCAGGGGCTGGGTCCTCATGAGTGCGCATTTGTCGGCCGC